CCGGGGGGGGTAAAACTTTTTTTTTTTTTTTCCCCCCCCCTGGGAAAAATTTTTTCCCTTTTTTTTGGCGGGGTTTGAAAAAGACAAATTTCCCGGGTTCAAAAAAAAGGGGGTTTTTTTCCCTTTGGGGTCTCCCCGGGGGGTTTTCAAAAAAAGGGGACCCCCCCCCCCCCCCCCCCCCCCCCCCCCCCCCCCCGCAGGAGGAGGAAGCGGCCGGCAAGCGGAGCAACGCGGCCTCTTTCGGCGAAACCGCCACCGCCGCCACCAAGGGCGTGTCGGAGGCAGTGTCTCGCTTCTCAGGAGAACACGCCAAGGGTTGCGGCAACCTCAAGGGCTTCCTCTCCAGGGCGGAGGAAGCGGCGAAGGCGGCATCGTGGGGACTGTCAGCGGCAGCGGCGGAGGCTCTCAAGGAGGTGACTGGGAATAGAATGGGCGGCCTGATGTTTTGGCCGTCCTAATGTTGGTGATGGTGGCGGAACCAGTTTAGAGGGCTCCACCCACTGTAAATACTTCAGCACATCCCTTTCGACTGTTACTCGTGTTGGGTTCTCTAGAAGACTGTTTCCGTATGTTCCGCAGTACTGTATGGGCCTGCTACCCCCCACCAGAGAGTGCAATGCATCAACCATCAACCTCTACTCTGTACAGCCGTAATACCACCAACTGTCGTGAGGAGACAGCCACTGAATCGTGTCGATGTTTGCCATCGCTGTCTTGTGTTCGTTGGGAAAAAAATAATAAAACGATAGGCGGACCTGAAGTGCAAGGAACTGGCCGAAGGGGTTTCGACTGGAGCGGCGTCTACCGAAGACCTTGTAACCCTCGCTTCGATCGCTCTCGAGGATGCGCTGGGCGAGCAGAAGAGCGCAATCGACGCCTGGAGCGAGCAGGTGCGAGGAGAAGCGACGATAGATACGCGTGGTCTCGGATTGCGTGGGACGCGGTTCGCTTAAGGGTACGGGATCGCGACATCCAATGGGGAAAAAACGTTTCGGAAAACGAACACGGACGGATGTTGCGAGGAAGAAACAGGGTGATGGGGATAGCAAGCCGACTGGGGTGGAGCGTTTCGAGAAAGAAACCTGGATAGATAGGTGATGCATTGAAGAATATAGAGTTGTGGGGGTGGCAAGCCATGGCAGACCTCCATGCTGCGGCGCCGGTGCAACACTCGTACCACACCAGCGTCGGCGGTTACTGTAGCGATGTTGTGCGCTTGCTGCCCACGTCGCGTTTCGTGGTCGGCACCGCAGTACACTATTTACCTGCTTTCTGCCAAGCACTCATGCAACATGTACAGATAGGGGGGCCGGTTTAGCGACACGTCCTATCTTGCGACCACAAAATCGCGTGGTGGCACCGTTGCACCCCGACCGTTTGCAGTCTCTATACTGGCAATGGCGACCTGCCCTGAAAGGTCACGAAACTGGGCCCCTCCACTACGGTTGTATGTACCGTACTGCCTTAGCGTATTGTTTTGTTTTTTCTTGCGTTGTTTGTCTCGCTTCTGCGCCGGACTGATTTCTGCCTGCCCTCAAGATCCAAGGATTCCGGACCCCAATCACATATGCACACAGCGCCTTGGTTGTATTCGCCTTGTAATTACCAAGTGTTTGGAGTGGATGTCTTTCATTTCCTCGGAAAGCACGTGGAGTGGAGGCTTACCCGTAGATCATTCCAGAGAACGGTTCTTCAATTATGAGTGTGGTTCCAGTTCTGGACCTTGGTATTCACATATTTCGATATTTTTTCTGGGCGCATCAGCCTGGGTCACGCAGTTTTATTTTTTTTTTGCTGCCTTCGTTCTACGGTGCTTGCCTTCATGTTTATCGCGAGAATGATTCAGCCGGGCCTCGCCCTGTCAAAAATTGATATTTGAAGCAATGGCAAAAAGTTCATTCGGTGCTGGCATTATTTTGTCGGGTTCGTTGCCGAATCTGATGATGCCATCTTATTCGATATGAGTGTGTAAGTGTATTTGACTTTTTTTTTTTGCTTATTCTTGAATAGATGGCGGCGTCGCTGGAAGGCCTGCGCAACGGCCTGAAGAGCCACGAGGGTGGTCTGTCTTCGCTTTGCGAGGACGTGAATCGCCGGTCGGAAGAGGCTAGCAAGGAGATGACTGACTTCAAGGAGAAGGTGCGTATTTGTACGGCAGTACACATCGTAGGACGCGTATTGTTTTGGCGGCCCTGGTTTTCTTTTTTTTTTTTTATCTACTTTTGTTTCTTGTTGGATTGTGTAAGGTAGCATTGGCGGAGGGGCATCGAACCGTGTTGCTTGTCCTTGCCTTCTGACTGAGTGGCTAATACTTTGCTGACAACGCAGAGCGAATTAAATTACATGTTTGTTTTGTCGTTCTGTCGTACGATGTTACCTTCCCAACCCGACGTAGTCTGGACAAGCGAAGACGCGGTATCTCGCCCCTCCTGGGCATGCGAGGCCAATGGTCTAACGACTACGGCATGCATTTACGTGAGTACACACCCAACCCCTCTCCATCCTTTTTTGTGCGCGCGAAGTGTGCTAGCGAGCTGGCGGAGGTGCGCAGCTGGGCTGACGAACGCATCGCGGCGCAGACTGCGCAGATGGAGTTGCAGAGCGAGGAAGCTAAGGTGGTGGCGGCAAGGTCTAAGGAGGAAACCAAGGTGGAGGTCGCCCAGCTGATGCAGGTATGGAGGAGGCGTTTTTATTTGGGATCGGGGTAGGGGGAGGCGTGTCGGGGAAGGGGGGAGAGTTGCGTTGGAATATCGGCGGTACAGTATCGTTTGCCGAGCCCTGTGTACACACACACATACGATGTGGTGGGGGTTTCTGAGAGGTCGAAAGGGTGAGCTTGGTGAGTCGTTTCACGAACGCTGGCCGCAGCGCTGCATACTGCTCTTCGGCAAGAATCCAGTTCTTTGACGTCTTGACGCCTTTCCTTTTTTTTTTTTTTCCGCAAGAGCGCACGCACGCACATCATTGTTGGTACCGCCGACACCCTTTGTGTCTCACCTCATTTCTTGTTTTTGCGCTCCTCTTTTGGCACATAGAAACCGCCCCGCTGGTTCTCCTTCACGCATACGCGCACACCATTGCGTCGTCGTGTTGGTACTGCACCGCAGACCACCCTCGGTCTTTTCTTGTTGTTGCGTTCCTCTCTCTGTACATACAAACCGCGCCGCTGGTTCTCCTTTCACGCAAGCGTACACCATTTGGCATCGTCATGTTGGTACTGTACCGTCGACCACCCTCGATCTTATCTCTTTTTTTTTTGTGCTCCTCTTGTATTCATAAAAATCCCTTACCGTGTGTTTGGTCTCGGCTGCAGTCGCTGTCGACCCTCATGTCGGGGCTGCAGACCAATGCCGCCGCTCGCGCGGACAGCCAGGCCGCGGCGGCCGGGGAGGCTTGGTCGAGATCCATCTCTGCGGCGCGCTCTCTTGGGCCCGAGGTGGGTGTACTGTGCCGGCGAAGGTTATGGTGCTGCTGTAGCGTCCGTTGGTTGCTGTGCGCCCTTAGGTGTTCGATGGGGGGACAGGCAACAAAAGAGGTGCAATTCGGTGGGTGTAGCGGTGGCCAAAAGATTTTGCGTTTTTTTTATGTTTTGAGGGTTTCAGGTTAGGTATTGTAGCTTCTATTCTTCTCTGGATACAAATCGTGTGTTGAGCCCAAATTTTCCGACCGAACCCCATTGTTTGCTTCTGCATGGCACTGCTGATTGTTGGGGTACAAAAATTATCCTTGAAAAATTTAAACAGGTTTCCCAGAAGATGGGAGGCATCGCGGAGAGCGTCGCCAACGGGAGCGAGAGCGTGGCGAAGAAGCTGGCCCTGTCTTCGAGTGCCACCGGCAACAGCATCAAGGTGAGTTTGGTTACAGCGCAAGTCATGCTTTCGGGCAATGGGTGGGGCGTGTTAACACCAAAAGGTGATGGGCAGAGTGACACTGCCGGCAGCATCCAGGTCTCTTTTTTGCGCGAGTCAATGTTGTGCCCCTTTTTGACGCAACCATGTATTCTTTTTTTTTTGCCAGTGATGCTCGAAGGCCCCATCACCCTGTCCATGTTTTTTTTTTTGTGTGTGTGTGTGAATTGTGTTTTTTGCTCCTCTTTCTCAAAAAAATTTTTTGGTGTTTCTGGCTCCCTTTTTCAGGAGCGCCAATCTGCTGCCGCGGCCTTTGTCGCGTCTACTGCCGACGTGTCCGACGCATTCGCGGCGGGTGCTACTCAAGCTTCCGGCCTCGCCGACGATGCCAGGTCTTCCCTTAAGGTACCACAGATCATACGCCTGCTCACCACCAAGAAGAAGTTTTTTTGTCTCCTGTTTTGCTTTGTTTTTTCGCTGTACTGATATGTTTGTCTGGGATATATGTGTACGCTGCTATCGAGATCGGATTTCGCGGTTGAGAAGGCCGCAATTTTTGTTGTGTTTTCGGTGGATATGTATGCTTGTTTACATATGTACATGCTGCAATCGACCGGGTGTTATCTTCCATTTTCCCGTGTACGTATGCGTAGGTTGTCTTTGATGGGATCTCGACTCCTGTTTTACGACTTTCCTTGAGGAGATTTACTGTTTTTCCGCTCTCATGTTGACGGCCGTGTTTCACATACGAATTTCCCTTTCTGTAACTGATTCTAATCTAAGTGCCATAATTCAGCCCGTCGTGTGCGTGTGTATGTTCCTTCGGTAGACAATCTCTTCTCCGCGCTTGTGTCGATCGCCGTGTTTTTACGAGTTTCCTGCTGATCGGTTCTGGGTGATGGCTCTCGATCGCCTCGTCGTTAGCGCGTGTGTGTGCATTTGCTCTGCAGGAGATGGTTGGTCTGTTCCACTCTCCTGTTATATAGTCGTCGTGTTTTATGAAGTTCCTGCTGGCTGATTCGGGGTGCCTTCCCTCGACGCCTGGGTGGTTGCGGCGTGGCGTTTGTATGTTTGTTCTGCAGGAGAACATGGCGGCCGTGTCCGGGGCCGTCGCGAGCACCGCCGATGGCTGCAAGGCCGCCACCGAGAGCCTGAGGCTAGGAAACGGCGAGGCGGCCGAGCGTGTTGCATCACTCGCCTCCTCGGCGGACCGGGAGGCCGCCGGCCTTGCCCAGGAGGGAGGGGAACAGGTGAATGAACTGCAGTCGGCGGTCCTCAAAACGGTACCCTCAAAAATAGCCGAATGCCCTCTACAGCACCTACAGCAGCTACAGCGGCACCGAAATCGCTTGGCACAAATGCGCACAAGCCCTGTTAGGAATAGCGGCAGTGCCCTCTATAGCAGCACCATCGAAACCTCTTGTCACTACCTACCGCTATTGAAGACCGTCGACTGTACGTGGATTGCGTAAGATAACACCCCCCCCCTTAACCCTAACCCTAACCCTAACCCTAACCCTAACCCATTCCTGCACCACAACGTGCAAGAATAAGGTTGGCGTAAGGTGCCACCAGCCCCCATGGACTGCATTTTCTTATTTCTACTCGACAACCAAAGAGGGTGCCACATTACACAGGGGGTCCCTGTTTAGTGCCGGTACTGTACATGTATGTGCCCAGAAAATTCACCGGTGCTAGACCGGACGGGCACTATTCTATTCAAAGTACCGACAACGGATTGGAAATTCAGTTTGTGTTCGCCGAAAACACCGGGACTATACCGGGCATTGGCACTACAGTATTCAACCGGCACTAGACAGGGACCCCCTCTGCGTTCATTCTCCCCCACGCGGGAGGGGAACAGGTGCGCTACTATATTTCGGTAGGTTCCCGAAGATATCTATCATCCACCAACCTGAATGGTATGGAACGTGGTCGGTTGAAGGAAGTGGAAGTGTTTGGGTTGCGCTACAGTATATGGTACTATCGTCTTCCTAAAGACGTGTCGACTCGACACACACATCAATATAGTGCCATCGTCGAACCACAACGCACTGTGCACATTTACCGTCACCAGCAAATGCACCTGAGGGCGATCCTGCAGCACTTATTTTGTACCTCCAGGAAGGAAACGTTTGGTATTGCGTTCCAGCAGTTGACCTACAGCGTCGACACACATGCCCAGAATTCTGACTTCGACGAACCTAACGTGTACCATTCGACAACCGACAGGTTGGGGTCCTCGCCGCCTGCGTGGAAGGCCTCGAGTCCGACCACTCTTCCTCCCTCGGGCAGTGCGTGTTGCACATCGAGGACCACGTGGAGGAGGCCTGCGCCGTCCGAGACCCGTCCGGAGGAACCCCCGGGAAGAAGTCTTACCCTCGCCCGGAGGCGTTCAGGTACATATGGCACATGCGTGTGTGTCTTCGTGCGAACGCGTGCAGCAACGTAGTTGTTAAGACCATTGACCTCGCATGTGGGGGGGGGAGGGTTCGGTAACCCGAATCGTTCAGGATCTTTGTTGTACTAAATAGGTAGGTTTTTTCGTGCGGAAATATCGAAGAATAGAGGATGATTTTCGTGCAACATGTTATGGTATGTGCGGGACGGACGTATGCGACCATGCCACGGTAGGCAGGAATTACTGCTGTGCACTGAATCGGGCGTAGATTCTTGTTCAGGGAGGTTATACTAGGTTGGAACTGGCTGTGAGCAGGGTTGTTTGATTTTTTTTTCTTTTTTTCTCTCGAGTCTCAGCTGATCCGTCGTCTTTGCTGTGCCCACGATTCAGGGAGGTTGGAACATCTTGGAATCGGCCTTCGGTCTTAACTTTTTTTTTGAGTTTTTTCTCTCGGTTCTCAGAGCTGATCCGTCCCTTTTTGTTACCCCCCCCCCTTTTGCTTCCGCTGTACACACATGTCGCCCGCAGCACCACTCGACCGCACGAGGAGATCATGTCGGAGATTCGCGGCGGAAATCTGGAGGAGTTGTTCGCGTCGTCGGAGGCGTTCCTTCCGCAGGGAACAGGGACGACGGTTTCGTGCTCCGATTCTGCGTCCACGGTGCCGTCGAGCCACGAGGAAGAAGAGGATGAGGGAGAGGGAGAGGGAGAGGGAGAGGGAGAGGGACAGCAGACGGCTGGCGACCTTGAAGAGGCGGGTGAAGACCGGGTTGTGTCGCGTGGTGGGGAGCTTGAGAAGGGGGTGAGGGCGGTGTCCTTTCCACGAACCTCGACGACCTCATTCAGCGAGACATTTCGTGCGTCGTGGCTGCTGGTGTTGGTTTATCGTTTTTTTTTTTTTTTCAGGATCGTGTGTGAGCTGATGTTGCACCGCTGTTGTTGGGGGGGCGTGCGTGTTGTCTTCTTATATGTTTGCTTCTCTCGAACCTGATGATCAAGACAGTTAAATAGATACGCAGGCTCTTGCGTTATTCTGTCTCGGACGTGAACGGACGGGCTTCGGGCAATAAGCTGACCCGCGTGTGACCGAGACACTCCCTTTCGCTGAGAACGTCCACCTGCCACCCTTGCTTGCATCTAACGACGGGCGTATGTATCTGTTCCTGTTTCTCTTACCAACAGGACACCGCCGTCCCGGCCGAACTCGCAGACGCCGCCGCTGCTACTGCTGCTGCAGATGCTACCTCCACCGACCAGG